TTGCGCCCCTTGGAGGCACTTTGTTTTTAATTTCCAATTGTAAAGTCATCGCCAATAAAAGAACACCCCTTTTTGGGACTTTGTCTTAAGAGGTTTGTCCCTTACACAATCGTCTGATCCCTTTTTAATTGTTAGCGACTAACCCGCGCGAAACAATTTGGCACGCCCAGTGGGACAGTGGTGTTTGGTGTTGAAAGTACAAAAGGTGAAACAATATGCCTCAGAGATCCGATAAGGAAGCAGCAAGTCAGGGAGGAGTCCAATCTGTGATCGAGCGATATGAGGAGCAGCATGCCTCTCCACGAACAGATGGGCAGAATCAGAGCGGTAACAGTTATTACGAACCAATGACGGAGTTGAGTCCTCGAACCATGCGTGCATTACTTGGAGAACTCACACAAGACGTTGTTGAACAGGTAAATCTTCGAAGTATTCATAATATGGAAAGATTTACCCAAAATGGGAATGCACACTATGACAATATGGCCAAACAACTAAATACTTTGAACGAAACAATGAATAAGTTAATAGGCCAAATATGTCAACCGGTTATACCTCTTGCAAATCACTTTCAAACTAGGACAATTGTGGGACATAATCCCTCAGTCCTAAATCCGAATCAAGGGGTAGAACCACTTTCTGGTCCCTCTACTTCAAACCAAGGGGGTACTGCAGTGCCAAATCAGAACAATGGTAGTGGTACGTCTAACTTGGGGGGTAATCCAAACATAAGAGATAATATCCTAAACAATGGACAGCACACCCCACGTGTTAATGAGGGAATAGATGTTCAGGCTAATGGTAATGACCCTAATTATGGTAATTTTGTTGCCAATCCAGGACCAAACATCAGGCCTCATGCAAATCAACCGGTTAATCAGCCTGTAGGAATTCTATACGATCCTAACGCCATGTTGATGAATCAGATTATGGAAATCGTACAGGATCAGATGGCTTTTGGGGTGCGTCCCGCCATTAGGCCGACGTACACAAAGCCATATCCTGATTGGGTAGACCAAACATATCCATGGCCTAGAGGGTACAAAGTGCCATAATTCTCACTGTTTACCGGTTTAGGAGAGGTGTCTACTCTAGAACACATAGGGCGATTCACATTGCAAAGTGGTGATGTAACCGATTACCATAAAATGAGGCTTTTCCCTGGTTCGTTAACAGGAGTAGCTTTTTCCTGGTTCATCAACTTGCCAGCGAACTCTGTTCAAACATGGCAACAATTGGAATAGTTATTTCACGCTCAGTTTTATAAAACTGAGTCTGAAGTCACTTTGGCTGATTTGGCGAATCTACGTCAAACGCCAAACGAATGGGCAGAAAGTTTTCTCCAAAGGTTCAAGACAGCAAGAAGCAAGTGTTTTGTACCTCTGCCCGAAAAAGAATTTGTCAAAATCGCTCAGGGCTGCTTGAGCTTTGATTTAAAGAAGAAACTCCAGGACAAGGAATTTCCTGACCTTTTCCAGTTGAGTGCGAATGTGATTAGGTATGAACGACTGATAAAAGAGGAAGAACAGATGAAAAATTCTAGTAAAGAGACTTATTACAAAGACCCAAATTTTGATGTTCATACCATCAGTGACGAGTCATACGACCAGGCCGAAATGTGTTTGGCCGAATTGGTCAAAGGAGATACGTATACTTGTCCCATAATGGCCAAGCCTAGACCATCAGACAAAGATGAGCTCATAAAAGATGGAAACATAAAGGCTAGAACGTTCTCGTTCGATGTAACCAAAGCTGACCTTATATTTGATAAATTATATAGGGATAAGCAGATAAAGTTGAGCGATAAGCACAAATTGCCAAACCCTGAACAAATTAAGAGTAAAAAATATTGTAAGTGGCATAATGCATGGTCACATTTGACTAACAATTGCTTGGTTTTTCGCCATGTATTGCAGGATGCTATTGAATCAGGATGAATTACGTTCGACGATAAGAAAAAGATGGCAGTGGATGAAAATCCTTTTCCACAGCCACTTGGAGTAAACATGGTGACGTCTGGATTCAAAAACAAGTTGCCAAAATTTAAGTTGGTCATAGATGATGGAGAAGAGGATCCTAGACCACATTCCAGTGTCTTTGAACGAATCAAGGGGAAGAACCAAAAATGGACGAAGACGTCCTGTGTGCAAGATGTAAAAGAGAAATAAATGGCAATACGGAGAAACCAGGGATATGGCAGCATCCCCATCGCCCTACCTTCTTCCCAAACATTCAGCTTGGTAGAGGGCGAGGTACATCATTCTATAGAGGACCGCCTTTTGAGAGGCAGTTCAGGCCAGCAGATAATGGAAGAACATTCAGGCCGCAACCTCGCCGGCCAAATGTATGACATTCATTCCAGTATAATGCAAGAAGGGCAATACCCTTCGATGAGATGACTAGAACCCAACAAAGGCGTTTCCAACGAAACTATAGACGGATGATGAGGCAGCAACAGGGAGTGCCACATCCTAAAGCGCCTAAACTACTCAAGGTAGCCAATCAAAATGTCCTCAAAGATAGTGAAGAGACCGGTACAGATGAATCAATGAAGGAACTGCCAGAAACTTCTTCTGGGAGATCAAAATTTGAGCGGGACAGAAGGGATGGAGAAGATCCAAATCAGCCCCTTACCATCCAGTTTGGTACGTTACCTCCTATCGTGGCCAATAATTACTTACTGGCCAATGAATTCAAGAATAAAGAAAAAGAAGAAGAGAGGGAGGACAATGAAGGAGAAGCTTGCGTGCTGGTATGTGAAGAAGGCCTGCCTTCTAGAGAGGACTATAACGATGAAGAGGACGATGGGATGACAGACATGGAAGAAGAAATCGACCTAGAAGCAGAAGGAAGAAAGAGAGGAATATCGCGCAATACTCTGTTGAAGCAACTACATCGATAGGGAGTTCGCGAAGTAGACTTGTTAGGAGAACCATTTGGGCGTCCTTTCGATTTCTACATACTGTACGGGACACCCAAAAGGAAGAAGAGAGTGCCTCGCTCTGAAAAGTATGGGTCACCTCCAAGAATAATGCCCCCTCCCACATGTTGGGTAACTGATGAGGAAGCATTAAAAAAAAGTAAGAAGGAAGTTCAGGAGACAGAGGATCAATGCGATATACTGCACGTCGACTTATCACAGGGGGATAATTCGACAGAAAACAAGCAGGAAGTAGAAATAGAGACTGCCGAAAAGGTTATTTTTAAATGGCCAGCCATGAAATTGACTAAACACTTGAGGCCATTATACGTTAAAGCTCTAGTTAACGGCGTCCCAGTGGCAAAAGTGCTTGTCGACAATGGAGCAGCTATAAACACCATTCCATCTAGGATGATGAGGAAGTTCGCAAAGATAGAGGGTGACATGATTCCTACAGAAGTCATCCTCACGAGCTTCAATGGAGGAGCAACTTCAGCTAAGGGAGTTATGCCATTGGACATAACTATAGGGACGACTACTAGGACCACTGTCTTCTTTGTAATAAATGGTCCTACTAGTTACAATGTGCTAATAGGAAGAGATTGGATACACGAAAGTCGCTGTATACCCTCATCGCTCCATCAATGCCTGATCTTTTGGAATAACAAAGGCGAAGCAGAGGTGGTACAGGCCGATCATAGGCCTTTCGTCGCAGAAGCAAACTCGGTGAAAAAGTTCATGTACGAAGGAAACTATGGACCTGTCAGGGTGGTACAAGATGGGAAGAAACTCAAGTTGTCGCGCAAAGCGAAGAGCCATTTTTAGTGGACGCACTCACTGAAATGTTCAGACAGATGAGGCCAAATATAGTGGCCCTGGAAGATCCAGTAATTGGCAAAAGAATAATCAAGGAGTCATGAATGAATTCTAAGTTACGAAAGCAAATGGCCGACATTCAGGCCTTCAAAGCCAGACTGATGGCTTTCAATAAGGAATGCAATGACAAGGCGAAAGAAGAGACAGCCCTAAAAGCGCTGAAGGACAAGTTGGCAGTATTCAAGTTAGAATAAAACATTGGCCGAGAAGTCAACAAAGTGGACTGTTTAGAAGAAGAAGTACTTACAAGGGAACTGGACGATGAAGTAATGCGGATCGTCAAACCTGGATATGCTCAAGCACAAGACCCTCTGATCAAAGTAAACATTGGCAATGAAGGAGAAGATCATCCAACATTCATCAGCCAGATGCTTGATCAAGAGGTTAGTAATAAATTAATCGCTTTGCTAAAAGAATACAAAGATTGTTTTGCTTGGGAATATGAACAAATGCCTGGTTTAGATAGAGACTTGGTGGAACATAGGTTACCAACTAAGCCTAATTTTAAACCTCATAGGCAGCCTCCTAGACGTTTTGCTCCCAATTTACTCCCTGAAATCAAGAAAGAGATAGAGCGATTATTGAAAGCAGGTTTTATAAGAACAGCTAGATATGTCGAATGGTTGTCCAATATCGTGCCAGTATTAAAAAAGAATGGTAAACTAAAGGTGTGTATAGACTTTAGGAATTTAAACATAGCTACACCCAAAGATGAGTATCCAATGCCCACGGTGGATTCTTTAGTAGACTCGACTGCCGGACATGTCATGTATTCTTTCATGGATGGGTATTCAGGATACAATCAAATTTATATAGCTGAAGAAGACATACACAAAACTGCCTTTAAATGCCCTGGGTCTCTAGGATGTTTTGAATGGGTGGTTATGCCTATCGGCCTAAAAAATGCAGGGGCAACTTATCAACGGGCAATGAATTTAATCTTTCATGATATGATAGACAAGTTTGTTGAAGTATATGTAGATGACATAGTAGTCAAGTCCATTAAAGAAGAGGACTATTTCGAACAGTTAAGATGTTCGTTTGAGCGAATGAAGCANAAATAATTTATTTTCATTTCCAACTCAGAGTTGACTGACTCAGCAAGGTCAAAATCAGAAGTATTCAAATTTCCATTTTTACCCCTGTCATCCAGTTGCCCAAAGGGCAAATACCGACTTCTTCAATGGCCAAAGCTGTTACAAAAGTAAATCCCAGTTATTTTACCCCAAATCTTTCTATCAATAATTTAATAATTTGCATTATAATATAAGAAATCTTTTAGTTGTATAAAAAGGGGTCTCAAGTGTTGTGCTTTCTTGTCTCTATTTTGTTCGTCGATGTCATTTGTTTATTCAATTGTTTGTGCGGAGAAGAAAAAGGCAGTAAACACGTAATATACGCTACAAGCTAATCGATTTAGCGTATTTGAATTAGTAAGTTGGATATTTCCCTGATTTCCCGTTTCTTGGTATTCTTGAATATACTAGTTTGATTGAAGAGTATGTAGCAGTTGAAATTTTTTTATGGGATAATAGGTTTTTCGAATTTACGAGTATTGATGGTGGTTAAACAGTTTGATCACAGGACTGCAAAGTGGTGGAAGTTGGGATTTGGAGAAAAGTGGTTGTGCAGATTTTTTAATGGGCAAATTTTGTTGTTTTAGCTCTGCTTGTGTTCAGGTAATCTTGGGTTGTCTTTATAAATTTTTATATCTATTGTTTGCTGTTTTGGCTTATGTATAATTTTGATAAACTGGGCATAACTTTACGGAATTATATAGTTACGAAAAAGTGTTTCGTATTACCTTTTATGCATATTTGGTAAGGTGGACAGGGTAGCACGGGACATTATAATAAGGAATAGAAGTATGAATCTTGTTTGATTGTACTATCCTATACTGCATGGTACATACTAAACATGCCCTTTGGGTTATTATTGCTGCTCACACCAATTTCAGCTAGGATTGTGATTATTGCAAAATTTGATAGCATACTAATTGTCATATTCACCCCGTGAATAGAATTATTGGTACCCCATGTCACTCTTGGAATTCTAAGATGATAGGTAACATTTGATTGACTCAAAGCTTGATTCCTTTGCAATCATAGTAAGTGTAAACATCTTTCATTTCCTTTCATGTTGTATTGGGATCATGAAACCTTAATTTATTGCAGGAAATAATAAAATTTCAAGATAAAGGGTTTCTGTAGGATAAAAAGAAGATACCGGAGTCTATGATGTAGGTTTTATAGATATTGTAAGTTCTAATTCTACTTCAAGGCTGTTGTAATAATCAAAGCAGTGAAACAATAATGAGATTGTCACAATGATTATGTGAAATTGGGCTAATGGGAAGTTCCATTTTTTTTTATATCTTTGCATGAATTAATTTAATGAACGCAGCATCTCGTCATGTATACTGACAAAGATTGTGAGAAAAATTACATGCACACCGACGCATAGTTAAGCGCTTGGTTTCTTTGGCCAAAAGTTTCCATATGCAGATTCTTTCCTTTTTGTGTGTGTAAATTTGCTAGTGCTGATGTTCCTGATTCTTTTTCTTTTCTCTTAATTATGAATAAATGTTTTCATAAATGAAGTTTTCATTTTTCAATCTCCTCTCCCAATTCAGCGTTCAGAATCTCAATCCTCTAAAAGCTCAGGCTCGGGGAAAAACCGTGAGGGTCAAATCAAATATGGTTTCACCTTAGTGAAAGGAAAAGCTAGTCATCCCATGGAGGATTACCATGTTGCAAAGTTTACACAGATAGACAGACATGAGCTTGGACTATTTGCGATATATGATGGCCATATGGGGGATCGCATTCCTTCATACCTGCAGAAACATTTGTTTGACAATATATTAAAGGAGGTACAGTGTTATAAAATATAATGGTTCTATTTCATGATTTGGATGTCGATAAGGTTAACATTCTTGGCATGTTTGGTAAGGAGGATGCCAGTCTTAATGAAAAGAAACTAAAACTTGTTCTCGTATTGTGTAGTCCTGTTGAGCATTGTGCACTAAACATGAACTCAGGGATGCCTTTCTCATATATGTTGTTTTTACTTTTCCAGGATGAGTTTTGGGTCGATCCAGGAAGATCAATGTCGAAAGCGTACGAGAAAACTGATCGTTCAATTCTTTCCGACAGTTCCAATTTGGGGCGAGGTGGGTCCACAGCTGTCACAGCCATTCTAATAAATGGCCAAAAATTATGGGTCGCTAATGTGGGAGATTCACGAGCTGTTCTTTCAAGGGGAGGTAAGGCTACACAGATGACCATAGACCATGAGCCCGGTATTGAACGGGGTAGCATTGAGGGCAAAGGAGGTTTTGTCTCAAATATGCCAGGTTTGTCTTCCTTTATTATTATTATTATTATTATTTTTTGGGAAACCTGATTAACTAAAATTGATTATAAATTTCCCATAAGGAAAAATAACAATTTCTATCTTGATAGTTCACTGTTTTATGCTCTGAGAGAAATATGTCCAAAAAAAAAAAAAAAAAAACTCTTTTTTA